TATTCGTGCAGAGATTTCGTCGGCAACTGAGCCAGCCATCGGGGTTGATCCTACTTCCCAGGCAAGTTAAGTGGTCGACACAATCAGCCACAACACTCTCTATTATTGGCTGTGGTGGGGCGCCGTTGAAGACCAATCCTGGAGCAATAAATTGCACTTGGGTGGTTAGAAACGCATCCCAAACATTCTCAGATGGTCACTCAAACATGCCCACAACTGTTCGAGTAGAGAGCCTTCAATAAGGCGATGTGCTTACTCGGCACGTCTTTCAGCGAGAGACATTGCCAGGGGTCTCCTTGGTCAACGGAGCCGAAGGCCGCCTTCAGATCGGGAACTACAGCTGGTGTCGAGCGTCGGCAATCGTGTCTGTGTTCCGGAACCTGGCTCAGTGTGAATATTTAGCCGATTCATCCGTGGCCGTGTCTAAAGCCTGTCTGGTCTTCTCAGGCTTGCCGCTCCCCAGCTCAACTCAGGCGTCTGTTGATTATAGAACCCAGAATTTTAGATACTATGTTCGTCAGGCTGACTTCTCGCCTTTTGTGAAGACCGGATAATCAGTGATTCAGACCAGTCAGAGGGAATCTTATTTGATTCCCATATACCGGTTAACACTCTTATTAACCTGACTAGGAGCACTCCACCACCATCCTCGTATTCCTCAGAAGTTAGTCCGTCTGGTCCTGCGGCTCTTCCTCATTTCTCGACTCCTGCAAGTGTTTGGAGGGGCCGGGGCTACCTCAGTGTTCCATTCGGGATCCGATTGGATAGCGGGCAACGCAATGGTGGCTAGAGGTCAGTTAAACTGTTCCTCGAAGTGTTCTGCACGTCGTTCCAGTCATCTTCCTAGCGAGTGTATCGCATATTCGTCTTTCTCCACCATAGTCTCACTAAGTCTAAATAACTGTCTATTGTTGCCAACCGCCACTTCCTTTTCCATCTCTTCAGCCTTCGCTACCCACCACTGTCCGCGGTCACTGCGTAGACTTTTTCTCAATCTACTTCTAAGTTGCGCCCGCCCTACATTGCACTCAGACCCTGCAAGGATGTGTTCGCGTGCATCCATTAGTTCAGAAGAAGCCGCTGATATCCACTGGCTCTTTTTAACCACTCTTTCGCAGCCGGCTGCGGTCTCCAGCGCCGCTTTGGCAGCAGCCTAGCTGGTAAAATATAAGGACAGGGATGCAGAAGCGGTTGGTTTGGACCCCTATAGTAAGTGAAGACATTTCCCCGGTTCATAGTGAATTTCACCGGTAAATAAGTGAAGTACATCCCACTGCAGTTGGTATTCATCACTGGCTCATGCCAGTTAGTGAGCCAATGAAAACTTGGAAGCTTTTGGCTTTTCACCAGTTACTTGCCAATCCAGATCGCTAGGTATTGTAACGTCACAAAATTTCCCAAAATCAATAGCCTAGGGTTTGACGACTTTCGACATTGATGCTGACCATGATAGTTTAACTGGACTCGCTAAGCTGAAGACACCCGGTCAAGCATCCTCGCCATTTGGCATGCTGTCGTGTTACGTTGCACTGCTTGTATTCGACTCTCCAGCCAGTTAGTTGGAACGCATCGGTATTTTGGCACAACCATCCAAATATACTATTCCGTCCGACTACGCTATCGTGTTATTCCTTGATCTCGTATTCGTGGGTATATAACAAGTCCGAATAATTAGTGATTGGTCTTTGCGTCTGTCAAGTTCGCACTAGGACAAATCCTAAAATGCCATGTTTTTTAAGTCTTTCAAATTTGAGGTTTATATGTTTGAGTTGAGTTTCCTTATCTGGACTCGGAATTAGGTAGTTATCGATGTAGACATGAACAGAATTTTAACCACGGAAGATATCATCCATAAAGCGTTGGAATGTTTGTGCTGCATTCCGAAGACCAAATGGCATGCGCAGGAATTCAAACAGGCCAAAATAAGTAATAATGGCTGTTTTCGCGATATCTTCTGCTGCCACAGGTATCTGGTCGTACGCTTTGACCGAGTCGATTTTGGAGAAAATGTCAACTTCGCGTAAGGTTGCCGTCGAATCGTAAACGTCAGGTATCGAGTGGCAGTCCAGAGTTGTTTTGGTGTTAAGCCTTCGGTAATCACCGGTTGGACTCCAGTCGTTGCTACCCCTTTTGGGAACCATGTGCAGTGGTGATGCCCGAGGGCTGTTTGATGGTCTGATAATACCCAGTTCTAGCATGTGGTCGAATCCGCTCTTCGCCATTTTGAGCCTATCAGGGGCCAGACGGCGTGCTTTGGATGCCACGAGTGGACCTGTGGTTGTGACGTGATGCATAACATTGCTGGTTATGCACGGAAGAGTGTGCTTCGGTTGCTGTAACTCTGGATATTCCTCCAAAACTGCCTGGTAGGACGCGTTACCTGACTGTTCGGTTCTAACGATGGCTAAACTCGGACCTACAAAGGTGGTGCCGCCAATAGATAACTTTGCGCTGTTATCTATCAGTCGTCGACGGCGAGCATCTACGAGTAGATCGTAATGGTTTAGCAAATCTACGCCAATGATGGGCATAGAGACGTCAGCCAGGAGGAAGATCCAGTGAATAGGTTTACGTAAACCTAAGTTGAGGTAGGCATGCCGTCTCCAGAATGTCGCGATTGCCTTGCCGTTGGCCGCTCGGAAATTGAAGGATGGGTCATGAAGACGCTCCTTTGTCGGTGCGGGAAGAACGCTAACTTCTGCGCCGGTGTCGACGAGGTAGCGAACTTTCGTTTTAATGTCGGTGACGTAGAGCAAACGGCTGTTTCCGCCGGCGTGACCGTTTCCCGAGTTTGTGTCCTTTTTAAAAGGGCATGGTTTCCAACATTTTCTGGCTTCATCCCCGTAAGTATTGTGAAACCAGTACCATCAAGGGTTTTCCACCCTGTTAGGTTTAGTTTTGGGGCTACAACGCGAGTTGATGCGATGCACTTAGACGCATTTCTGTGGAGTTCTGCGTGAACTAGTGCTTCGAGATCGTAGCAACTGTTTCACAGAGTTGTACAGCTTGCTCACCTCTGAATCCTGGCGCTCTGGTTTGTTGCAGACAGAATATATGTTGGAGATGGGTCTGCTAGAAATTTCCAGTATTTTATCCACCGCGGCTACCAGGCTATCGAGTGGGACTGACTACAGTGTCACCAACACGGTTTGCACCGGTTGTGGTAGTTTTGGGAGAAATAGTTCTTGGAAGAGGCCATCGTCGAATGTTCCTGCACCGATTACTTCTTGCATGCGTGCGAGGACTTCAGTAGCTGAGTGGCTGCCTAGCTCGATGTTACGAAGTAATTCGTCTAGACGTTGGCGATCTGTGAGATCGTTTTTCTTCAAGAGTGCGGCCTTAAGGAGTGCATAAGGGTTACTTACTGCAGGGTTAAACATGCGTGCTGTAACATACCTGTTTAATTCTCGTGGTAGTGACCGTATGACAGCAAGAAATCGAGAATGAGGATCTGAGACGCCCTGTTCTCGAAAATCGGCCTTGGCATACAGAAACCATATTTCCGCATTGTCTGGCCAATGTGGCACGAGTTGGATCGTGTTCGTAGTCGGCTTAATACGAATGAGCTTGGGAGTGTGGTCGGACATGAGAAAGCGTAGTAAATAGATATATAAATGTTAACGAAGTGAAAACAACAAACATATATAAAATGAAACAGGCTCACCAATTCAATATTTGTTATTGGTCGGGATATATGATCACGTCCGGATATTTGATCACGTCGGGCTCACCAATTCAGGATTTGTCCTAGTGCGAACTTGACAGACGCAAAGACCAATCACTAATTATTCGGACTTGTTATATACCCACGAATACGAGATCAAGGAATAACACGATAGCGTAGTCGGACGGAATAGTATATTTGGATGGTTGTGCCAAAATACCGATGCGTTCCAACTAACTGGCTGGAGAGTCGAATACGAGCAGTGCAACGTAACACGACAGCGTGCCAAATGGCGAGGATGCTTGACCGGGTGTCTTCAGCTTAGCGAGTCCAGTTAAACTATCATGGTCAGCATCAATGTCGAAAGTCGTCAAACCCTAGGCTATTGATTTTGGGAAATTTTGTGACGCTGCAATGCCTAGCGATCTGGATTGGCAAGTAACTGGTGAAAAGCCAAATGCTTCCAGTCTGGAGTTAGTCAGCGTTTGCGTGGTCTTTGCATCGTCAGCAAACTTATTTAACTGTGGGCCCATTGTCGATCATCGGTACCATTCTACGTTTTGTCATATGCCACTATTCTTGTTCACGATCTTCTGTTTGTATCGCTCGTGAAACTCGAAACATTGTTGACACAGCAAATATACAGTGTCTCGCTGCCTGACTGTCTTCTTTCTTGAACTCTTACCCCTTGAAAATCCAAGAGCACAACGTTTTGTGGGTAGTTCCTTGCATTGGTCCAGGCCACGTATGATTACTTCTGGAATGTATCGGTCCTTGTCGTCTATGGCTTGCAGGTTATCGTTCTTGTCCTTTAAGCCCGTAAGTAGGTCGGCACGCTGTTGCGGAGGAGTGCGTGAGTTTAGTAGTGACCACGAGGGTCTGGAAGAGAAATCGGGAAATTATGAACCAAAGACTCAGCAAGTACATAAGGTGAGCTGAAGATGAAAAATGAACCAGTGAGGTTTCGAATGCGTTACAGGTTCTAAAACCAATCATTTTCAATCCACCACCCACCGATGAAAACAATTTTGCAAAGCAGATTTTGCTAAAGATTAAAACATGTCATAGAAGCATATGATATCAGCTGCTGCTATCAGGGCTATCCAGACAATAGTTTTTCTTCACATAGATATTCACTACCAAGAATTATGTGGGCTGCAAGGCTTAATTAACTCATGACAATAAACTGACCGCATTGTTGCAACACCCCTAAATTTTAGACAGTAGGTATTCTAAACCTACATTTTAAGTCAGTTAACAAACAGATATAAGAACCAAAGTAAATACGTTACATAAGAAAAATCTTTAGTTGTCCATAAATTTGTTCTTAATGTCTGCTTAAAGACGCTAGTTCCAAATAGCTACGCTACAATCCATTAAATGTTCTCTTAATAAACATTTTTGGTTGTTTGATAAGTCACTAAGCCTTAAATTGTGTAACCTTAACGGTCACTAACAATGCAAATCAATATTGAACCGGATGTATACGAACAATTTCACAAGCTCAAGCAACTTCATAAACCGTCTGGTAGCGACAGTGAATTTCTCTCATTTATCATTGCCCATGTACAGAAATGTGGTTACAAAACAGAAAAGTATGTCGATATAATTCTAATTCCTTTACTTTGATAGCTGCAACCAACCTATGCAATCCCTTGTAAGCGGTACGCTTCGGTCCTGTCCGGAATGTAAATTCTCTGCCGCTACTTCTGACCAGCTATGGGACCATTTCGAAACTGTCCATCCAGATGAAGGGAGTTTTTCCTGCACGTGTGGAGATTCTTACAGTCGTTTGCCACTCTTCTTAAGGCACTATGTAGATTGTCCAGTTGCTTCCACTGACCTGCAAGACCCGCGTCGACGTGTTCTACCTAGCGTTTTACACTCTAATTGCGATAGCACGAAGGCGAATCAACCTGAAGTTTCTCATCCTTACCGTCAGCCACCGGTTTCGGCCGTTGCGGGCCCATCAGGTGACAAGCCATACGGGTGTCCTAAATGTTACAAAGGTTTTAAGAGTAAATCCTTACTTGACCAACACATGCATCTTCACTTTCCCCCGCGGTACAAGTGTAGATGGTGCGGAAATGTTTACCGCTGGCCACCTGTATATTATCACCATAAGCAAAGATGTAAAAAGAGACCACTCATAAATTTGAGTGATATTAACCATTCTTCTGATTACCGCTGTCTCAATGGCTCCGTTCTGAAAATGGAAGACTCACAAATGCATATGGATCAAATCCCATCTAGACAGCAAGTATTCAATCGGTTTATGAATGCACCTGGTGTTTCATTCACTCAAGAGCTGGCTAACGAAAACATCATTCAGAATGTTCCAGTTATTGGAGATGATGCTGCTAATTGTTCTCTAACCTGTTTATGCACAGAAAGCTTTCTGAACGTCCCTTCCTACCTTGAGCATGCTACTGTGTGTCCGAAAGTGGTTTCAGCATCATCTGTATTCGAAAACATTGCGAATAGAGCATTATCCACTTCAGCCAACTTGAGTTTCAGATCTCCGAGACAAAGAAATCCGATTTCCAATTTCCGCGAATTGCCGCCAGAATATCTTTCCCAGCTAAAAGATGCATCACTACTACATCCAAGTCTTGGTATTTTTTCATGTAACATGTGTGGCAAAGAGTTCAATTCCAAATTATCCCTCAAACAACACGTGGACGGTAAGCACCGTGCAGAGGGCAAGTACCTTTGTGCTTCATGTGGAAAACGGTACCGTTGGGGTGCTTCATTTTACTACCATAAGAAAACTTGTACCGGTTCTGTTCCTTCCTGTGTAATCAATTCTCAAGCGCCAGAACTTGTAACAACACATACATAGTAAACTTCATCCCCCAAACAAATACCTCATTTTCCAAGGAATTTCTGCTTATGTAAATGCTTCACTGCTCATGATAGAGTATTCCTATTGGTCTCAATACTGTGGATTGCAGGTAATTGTTTCTTTTGTGAACTATACAGAAGTATTTGTTTACACTTTTATACCCACTTATTCTTTGTATACTACTGTGAAGTGTGGCAAATTGAGCCGATGCACTTGTGTGCAAGGTTCTACGTTGATTCTATCCGTCTATGTGTTTAGACGTATTTTGAGACCACATAATGACTTAAGTAATGTTTAAAATTTCTGTTACTAACGGCAGTTACCAAAGTTTAACTTGTAAATACTTTTCAAGGCAAACTTATTTAATTTTCTATTAAATGTGTGTAATCTGATTTCCCAGTTCACTTACATGGTGTACTGGTGCATTTATCCTTACACTAGTACATTTTCTCAATCATTTTTATTGTGATTAATGTACATTTGTGTACTAATGTATTTCCAAAGTTTTGAGGGTACTTACGTCCCTCTCAGCATTGTTACTTTTCTTTCCCTGCTTTTTATTTATCTAGTCAAAGTTTCAATACATTGTGTGACCAGACTTTTGACTCAGTTTCATCATTTAAGTATTTTTTTATGAGAAAGGAAGCAGCCTTATTGCATTTAATATTTGCTTATAACTCTAAGCTATTTCTTTCTCTGGAAAAATCACCAAGTAATAGGATGTACTGGATTATGGCACTTGTCTTTGCATATTCATAACTTAAAATCCGTTTAATCTAGTGTTTAGAGTGCCCAACTCAGCCACAGGCCCACGCATCCTAGCTATTACCTACCCAGCATTAGTCGCCAATTTAGTGTCGTTTGTTCTCTGATGATGGGCAATTACGTCCACTGTGTTAATCTGCATGTGACGATCAACATCCACTACATAATGCATTTACAATGGAGATACAAATATTTTCTGCCCTGTCGCTTCATTACATCTGCAGTTTCATTGCTGTGAAACTTGGCGCACTTGCCACACTGCAATCCTACTATGGCATGATGACCTAACTTACATGTCACCACTGCCCAGCGAGCTGTGTCGGGATATGACTCGTTGGTGTCGGCATTTGATTTACAAGCGAGGATTATGTGATTAAGTCCCACTCAACCTACCAAGGGCTGTGGCTAGGTAGTGTCGTTATCCCCTATGCAATAGGTGTGGCCCACTTCTTCACGAACACGCAGAAGGTTACTGAGTGGATTTCGAGTGAGCCGTAGAGACTAAAATGACCTACTGTAACGGAGTATAAACATTCACCAACTTTTAAACCTCTTACTTGAATTCTTACGCATCAGGTTGAATGGTAAAGTGAAAAAATGCTAGGGTAGGCTTTATGATCTTGTTGTGAGTTAAGATTTTCACCGGTACTGCAAAGAGGTCCTGTTCCTTGGCCTTCTACTGAAGGACTATTAATCAAGTTGAAATCAAATATAAGTGTTCATTTACCTAAAGTTATGGTTTGGTACCAGGATGAAGGTTTGGACTTTGTACAACTAAAAGTACGCAGAAAACCTTCAGTCAAATAGTGCAAAATAACCGTATCGAAAAGTGGAGCTATGGCTGATTGGCTTGTGCAGATGACTTTCAACTAGTGGGTCACTGGTTATAAAACCGATTTGTCTACCAATGTATTAGTACCTAAATAGTATTATTAGCACACAAAAGGCATGGCTCATTGCCTAGTACACGAACTTGCATTTCTATTTCTTGTGGACCACATAAAACTTGATTATTTGTCGAATGCATACTTCAGCAACATTAGCTAAGTCATTTTAAGCTGCACTACACTACAGATAACTTAAAAACAGTGAGTCGCTCAAGGACGACACACCTTTTCGATTCTTGCTGGTCCATTCAGCATACATCGATGACTAACTGACAAAATCAACCTCGGACACAAGTGCTTCGGCTCAAGCGGACACACTTTACAGTAGAATACAAAGAATAGGTTGGAGAAAGAGTGATAGTAAAGTAGATGGAGCGGTGTGAGAGAATGAAAAAATCTGAAGATAACGATTACTGCGAATATTCAAGCTATGAAAAATGTCATGGAGTTAATACATCTGCGCCGCTGTGACTGATTTTCACCCATGTCCTCGACCACTAATTTCTTTCTTCTTGGGGACCCTGACCAGACAGTCCATGTCCATTAGTACGTCTATAAAAAAAGCTAAATAGGAACAGTGACAGTCGGTATCCCACTAGTTGTCGTCAGTTCACACGACAACTCTTCATAAACTCTTATAGGGTTGGATGAGTTTAGGTAGAGAGCTTTGATGACCATGGTATGCTTGTTCGGAACTGCCTTCACATTCAGACACTACCACAACACCTCACGGTCGACAGAATCAGATGCCCCCTTCATGTCGAGAAATATGGCGAGTGTCGGCTGCCGGTAGGTATGTCTGTGTTCCACAACCTGTCGGAGGGTGAAAATGTGATCTCTGCACCTTTTTTGGATTCTGAAAACTGCATGGTTTTCTCGATTTTGCTGTTCTCAAGCTTTAGTTAGGCGTCGAATAACTACTGACGCTAGGATCTTCAGCATTATGTTAGTTAAACTGATTCCTCTATGGTTGTCACGGGAAGATGGGTGATCAGAAAAGTAGACCAGTCTGAAAGGACTACCTCTGATTCTCATACACTACCTAGTACACCCATCAATTTAACTAGCAATTCCCTACCTCCGTCCTTAAGAGCATCAGGTGGTAGACTGTCCGGTGCCGCTGCTTTGCATCGTTTCAGGCTCGATACAGCTTTCTCAACTTGAAGGAGAAGTGGAAAACGGACATTTACGTCCCATTCAGGTTAAGGCTTTATGTTGGCCAACTGAAGCTTTGCTGTGGGCCAGTCGAAGTTTGCTCCAAAGTATTCTGCCCAAGGTTCTAGCTGCCAGTCCTGAGAGGTTATCGGCGTCCTGTTCTTATCGGTGATGGTTTCACTTACCAGCTCCTTCCCGGTATCCTTAATAACCCTAAACAGTTGCATGGTGTTACCCAATGCTGATGTCTTCTTCATCTCTCTTGCTTTTGCCATCCACTACTGCTCGCTATCTATGTGAAGACTATTTATCACTTTACATTTAAGCTGCTTTTGCTGTCCGTCAAAGCCATTTGGAATCAGTCTTTTCGGATGACATCGGGGAAATCCAATGACGTTTGCTAACCTTCATGTATAGGTTACCAACTCTCTTTACCTCTGTTTCTATAACAGACGTTTTATCACGTCAGGTTTTCCTCAGAATAAGCATTGTTATCATTTCCAGATGAATGCTTATCTATCTCTCCTAAATTCGGACTTAACGTTCTCATGTTCCAACCGACCATTGACAGGCTCTGCTATTGCCTGTTCCCTGCTACCAGTAAGAAGCAGATGGACACAAACCCGTACTAGCACGTGATCGGAGTCGAAAGAGATACTCCAGAAAGAGCGGCAATCCTCCAATGATTGCTTATAGCAATGTGATCTGTGTCCATCGTCGGTTCGAAGTCGGTGGACGCCATGTGACCCAGTGTCTCTCCTTATGCTTAAAGTTAGCGCTGGCTAGAAAAAAGTGATTGTCCGAGCGAAATTACAACAGACGATCACCGTTGTCGGTTCATCGACATGGCATTCTGTAAATACCTCTGATTGGCTCAGCGTCTCTACTTGAGCATTACAGTCGGTGGGTGCGTAGACGGAAATTAGGAATAACCATCGTCTAGTTACATGACTCTTCCTAGACCTTGCAGATCCATTCAGTCGAAGAGCACATAGACGGTTGTTGACTGGTATCCAGTTGAGAAGCGCACTTTCTTCTCTGCAACTCAACGCTATGCCTACACCCGCAAGTCCATGAGTGCTAGCCGTTAGGCTTCCGGATACTCCTAGGGTGAATTTTGAAGATTCACTACTGTGGCCAAGTGAGGTCAATTTAGTAACCACACTCGGGTCCTCCATACCTGTCTCACAAACATAGCATACATTCATGGCTAGAGATTAAAGAGTTCTGGCGAACGATGCCTGTTTTCCGATTTGACACCTTGGCACTGCTGATCATCTAGTAAAAACACCTTGCTTCTGTCAAACTCCATTTAGCTAACAGCAGTACGACTTTGCCCTCCCATCACATTTTAGCAATTCACACTACAACAGTAACTGGTTTTCGTCTTACCACTATCCAACACACCTTTCTGGCATCGTAGGACCCCGAGAAAACAAGCATTTCAGCTAGTGTAGCTTGTTGGGACATTGCGATATGCAAGCCCGACCACCATGTCAAGGTAGCGACTATCGGTTGAGGACCAGTGACACTACACGGGCGAGAGGAATATTGTTGAGAACTTCTCAGATATTCCACCGTAAAAGAACGTAGATTAGAACAACGCAAACTGCTGATCAGTGCACTCAACCTTTAGTCGACATAACGACGTTTAACCAGTGATGAAAGTCAGTCACACTCTTTATATACATGCCACTAACAATCCACTTGAGTTGGTATAACTTCGTCAGGTAAGTGAAGTGATCATCGTACCAGTCAATCTTACTCCCTATGTTAAGCACGTCATCGGCACCGATCTTGAAGCATTAATGTACACGTAGTTGAGGAAAACACATTGAAGATTTTCAGATTGTCATTCAGGATGTTCAAAGGACTCTTCATTCCCATAAAGATAAGACAAAAAGGACTTACAAGATAGATGAACAGTGTAGTGAGGAATAAGAAGAAAAGTGGAAGTTACAGCTGTCCCTTTGTAATCTCTGCTTACACCCACTGACTATAGTTCGGATGAAGCAGTAGATGAGTTCTACCGAAAACTATTTAACCTCCTTATTAAAACCAAGCATTTATATGTGGTTTTCTTAATAGTTGATTTCTATGCCTAAGTGAGAAAGCTGAGTCAGGCAGGACGGTGCTTTCGGAATTTCAGCCGATCAAACGTATAATAGTTGTCGCCTGCTACAGCTGTGCTAAGGCAACCATCTACTTCTGGTCAACACGAACTTTAAACATAAAGACAGACACTGCTTGACGTGGAGTCCACCGACCTCAACCCACCGGGGGCCACAGACCATATTTCTGTCGGTCATTACGGTAGACGGTCAGTGAAAGACTTCAACTCCTTCTTGAGCATATTTGAACAGTGTTTGTGCGTTGGTTACAATACGTCTATATCTATGCCCGAATGGATGTGAAAAAACTGCGATTGGAAAACCTTTTTGTGCAAAGTCCGATTATAAGAATGCTAAGGCTACTTTCAGCCAGAAACTGGCTAAAAATTTATTCAAACAGGACCATGTCACTCACCCAGAAGGAACCTAATTCTATCTCCAATCTGTTGTAACGGCAGTGTTACAGACCGTAAGTGACTGTCAGAAGATGGTTAGAAAGGTTAAATGGGTTTTAGCAGCTTGGTCCGAATTGGTAGGCGTGCGAACGCATTTTTGCAAACTCCGAGCACAAGGGGGAGCGAAAGCAACTTAAATGTAGACTGATATGAAGTTTACACTATGACTTCGGGTAGTGGTGGCCAACAAAAACTGAAGAGATGGAAAACGTAGGCCACAGTCG